CTTAAGAACTGAATCAGAAAGGTAGGAGACAATAAAACTGCTGTCTCCATTCACATCCCATGCACACATAATTTTGAAGCAGTTTATGAAACAATTTTGAGAATGATGACACTTCCTCTGAGATATATAAGGATCAATGATAATTACTGCGTTAAGAGTATGCCTCTTTTGTATTGGGGAGTTCTTATTTCTCAGCCAGGAAAATGCAGAATCAAGATCACAATTGAATACATAAGTAAAAGTGTTAAAGAAGTGTCACTTGTGTGAAAGAGTATTTCCACTTTGTCTCTTCTAAATGAATTGGGTACTGCCTTCTGTCAATTGCATCCAAAAAGAAAAAGAAAAAAAAAAAGAAAAGAAAAGAAAAGTGAGACAGCTACTTAGAAATGCAAGTTACCTTAATCTAATAATTCATCTTACCCAAGCGTACTGAGGACTTCAGTATGAACTCTAGCTCTGCAAGTCTTAGCTGTCATCTTGGGTAGATGTCAGATCCCTTTGAGTCTTGGCTTTCTCTTTGGCACCCTGTTGAAGATACATTATTTGCTTCATTATGATACATTATTTGCTGTAAGAATTCAACCAGGTAATATCTGCAAAATAAATGCTAATACTAGGAGATAACATTGTGTTGATGAAGTTTTGTATAAATTATCACTTTCATGTGCTGTTGGCAGGATTCTTAACTGGTACATCCATTTTTAAGAACAATATGGCAGTATGTATTAAAATAAAAATGTGAATCAGGCACAGTGGCTTACACCTGTAATCACAGCAGTTCAGGAGGCTGAGGCAGGAGGATTGCAAATTCAAAGTCAGCCTCAACAGCTTAGTGATGCTCTAGCAACTTAGCAAGATTCTGTCTCAAATAATAAAAAATGAAAAGAGCTAAGGCTGGGATGTGGTTCAGTTGTTAAGAACCCTTCATTTCTATCTCTGGTACCTATTAAAATATGAAAAGAGAGGCTGGTTTTGTGGCTCAGCATTAGAACACTAACCTAGAACATGAGAGGATCTGGGTTCGATCCTCAGCACCACATAAAAATAAATAAATAAAATAAAGGTATTGTAGCCAACTATAACTAAAAAAATAAAAATATTTTTCAAAAAATG